AAAAAAAAAGGTTCAATCAAAACAATGGATTCCGAGGTGAAAGCAAGTTAGATTCAAGGCCAAAGAGGTCAACTCAGAAGGTTATGGAAATGGTTTTTTGGAATTTCAAAGGGAAAATATTGATGAGATTGTCTCAAAGAACACAAACCATCACAAGCAACATGATTTGAGGCCCTTGAGAATGCCCAAACTACCACGTTGATGTAACTTCAGTTAAGAGTTAGAGAGAAACAGTGCCTTCAGAAAGGCATACACCTAGATAGAGGGTACATCAAGAAATATTAACACTACATTTTGATATTATTTTAAATAAAGGTTTCTAAGATTCTGCAACAGTACTTTCTGACTTAACCCTTGTATGAATGGTGTGTGGTCACAGAAGCTGGTTTACAGTGAATGAAAGCTGAGAAAGCAGCAGCAATCTGGTAATGAAGGCGGAAAGGGAACTATGGCAGAGTCAATGGGAATATTCCTTTATTAGGATAGTGAAACTAAATCCAAGCAAAAGCATTTCAAAGAATCCATGGTAAGCAAGGATTTGGCTTACAAATATTTTAAAACTAAAAGAAAACATTTAATAGTATAGTTTTCTTTATCATTCAAAAATACAGCTGAGGGGGTTATAAAAACTTCATGGAAAAACTCCATTACACCTTTTTATTTAGTTTTACAACAAAGTTCTTGAAGCCTCTTCATACAAGTATAAATGCAACTATTATGCTTATGTTTAGTATTATAATTTACTTAAGGAAAATCAAGGACCAATAAAGCACAAATAAAATAAAAGCAGGGCTTTAAATCACTTCTTCCTAGGTTAGTCATGACTGGTGACTTCGTAAAATGTGGGTATAGCAGAACAATCGCTGGAATGGGAACAAAGGTTGATGTCCTGCTATCAAATTAACTTTCCATTTAGAAAATAAGGGCAGTGTGTGTGCTACCAACTATGCCACTGTGAATGTGTGTCACTCTCCAAGACCTGGTAATAATCCAATCTCTCACATCAGGCTCCTGAGAGGGCTCACTACACCTCTTCTGAGTCTCCTATTCCAGGGTTTCAACCCATAAGTTTTCCCGTTCTGGTTATCCCCACATTTTACAAATTTGTACCTGTTCTGATTTTGCTGTATCAATCAAGACTAAACCAGTTCATATCCTGAATAAAACCATTCCCCCCCAAATTGTTTCTAACTCTTTCCCTAATAGTCCAGGAAAAAACTCTGCCATTTCTCATGACCTAGATAATTTACTAATACTCTGTTACAGCTAAGAATATTTTAGGAAGAAATGGTTATACGGAGCTAAAATAAAAAATTGCAAAAAGGAAAACGAAACGTTTCAAAAGAGCACTCCAGTTACAAAAAAAATTTCTGAAGAAATCATAGTTGATCCTCAGAACATCCCTTTGGGTGAGTGGGGCATTGTATTTGACAAATAGGACGCTGAGAGCTAGAAAGGTCATTCTGTTCTCCCAGTCACCACTGAAGGGGAGACAGGATTTGAAGTGAGATCTAAATTCAGTCTTAGCTGCTGTCACTTTATCAGTGTGTAAAGAATCTTGGGGTGGACAACAGAGGAGAATTTTTACCAATTTCAAACTTTCTATATCTTTGTACAATTTTATTTTCATTTTCTTCTTTTTCTAAGAGTTGTTTGCATAATTAAAATCTTAAATATTTAATAACTTCATTTTATTGTGATAAAAATACAGCTACGTATTTACATTTGAGAAGTTTATTGCTCACAATTCATACATTTTACTTTGTAGTATTTCATTGCTGAAGACCTGTATGCCGTTGAGTCAGTTGTGACTAGTGACCCTGTATAGCCTTTGTGAGCAGCAGCTGGTGTATTTGAACTGCCAACTACGTCCATCTATTTTAAGACTTGTCAGTAACAAAGAAGTCTTACAATTATGCTCTATTTGACAAATTGCCTTTTAGAGGTTAAACTTATTATTTCAGGTTATCAAAATTTAATCTTAATAAAAACAAAAGGAAATCATGTTAATTTTATTATAAATTTAGTAAAAATAAAACATTTAATTTTAAGATACATGTGTGAAATTCATCTGCTTAAATACTACTACTCAAGAAAATAAACACATTTTAAATAATCTTGTAGTTAGAGCATATGAAGGTATAGTCAAGGATGTACATTAAATCTCTCAGGGGAAATTACATGAAAGAAAACTACTCTATGGACAAAGATAAACTGATAATCCCATTAGCCATCTTCTCACAAACATGGCTTATTAATGATCAATTCTACCAGAAAAAAACTCAATGTAAAGATACTATTACCAGAAGACCACATGTAAAGATCTATAACTGCACTGAATTGGGAATTGTTTCACAGTAATTTGAAGATACATGTGTGATCTAAGTACATGTAATATATGTACCTGTTCTTCATTAGACGAACCTCTCTCTTACGTGCTGCTTCCTCAGCGGGCTGGGTAGGAAGTGCTGGGGAGGATGCCATAACAACTCCAGGGGCAATGGTGCTAGTGGGCGCTGTGCGAATCTGATAGGTTTGCACATCTCCAGAGGCAGCTGGAAAAAGAGAAAGTCACAGTGAGCAGAGCAGCACAGTGCAAGACTCTATGCTAGGGTTAAATTACGTGTATCAATTATCCATCTAAACGTCCATTTTGGATTCAAAAAGGGAAAAGAGCAGATGATTCTGGCTAAAATACTGAAGAATCAACACTCTTTGGGTTATTACTGAGAAGTAATTCTCAATTTAATGCATTTATTATTATAGATAATTTGGATGAAAGCGGTCTCAACCTGTATTTACTTTTATTTTTTCATTGGAATGCAGTTCTGTTCTGTTGATATCATGCTTACCAACCTTAAGTCTAAAAGATAAGTAGGGCACAGCTGGCTGGGATGATCTTCCTAGATAGAGTATAGTCCTCAATGTCTTCCTTTGATATTGGTAAATTCATACTAAAAAATTTCAAGTAGACTCTTGCACGACATAAAAACGACCATGATTTTTCATAAAACAGCAAAATGGAGAGAAAATAAAGCATTATGGTCAACTATTAAAAATTTCTAACTGAAACAAAACTAAGTATGAAGAAGTGGTATCAGTTAATGCCAATTATATTTCTTATAAATATATTGTTTTAAAATATATTATTATGGCTAAATAAACTGAGGTTTTATTTATGATTCATCACTTAGGAAAAGAATCACAATCACTATTTATCAGATTGCTTCTAAAAATAATATCCCCTTCTAAGAATAAGAAACCTAAACAATATTTCAGAGAATTTAAAAGTCTTTATAGAATTATTCATTTGAATACCCCAATTATCCACTATTTAATATCAATTAAAATGTGTAGTTCAAATGGAAAAAATTTATATACTAAACATGTTACCATCTTCAAACTAACGTTCAGAATTCAAATTCAATGACAGCCTGTTTTACAATTTTTTAGTACCTGCATGTAAAGTGAAAAGATGTTTTACTCCCATTATTAAAAAAAAAATTATATTCTTCAAACATTTGTTTAATAACAAAATGTATTCTGTAATTATACTGTTACTGTAGTTATTAAGTGCCGCTGAGTTAGTTCCAACTCATGGCTACCCTATATGTTTCCAAGGAGCCAGGTGGTAGGTTTGAACCATCAACCTTGCTGTTAGCAATCCAGTGCTTAAACTACTGTGCCACCCCAGGACTCCTGTAAGTACATTATTGTTGTTAAGTGCCATGAATTGGTTTTGACCCATAGTGACCATGTATAGTTTCTAAGGTGAGTCTGAACCACCGACCTTGAGGTTCAAACTGACCTTGCGATCCAGCGCATTATTCTGCAGGGTCACACTAGGGTTCTCTAAATAAAATATAACCTTGACTAGTTGGTGTTTTATTGTTATTGTTTGTTGTTAAGTGCCGTCAAGTTGATTCCAACCCATAGCAACCCTGTATAGGGCTTCCAAGGAGCACTTGATGAGCTCGAACCACCGACACTGTAGTTTAAACAACTTTGTAGTCTGATGCATTAGCCTACAGCGCCACACCAGGACTCCAGTTGGTGTTTTAGGACTATTCAAAATTTACTATCTGCAGCTAAAGGGCAAAAATGTCATTACTTAACATAGGCAAAATGCATTATAATAAACAAAAGTATTTTTTAGAAACAAATTTGAACACTTCAATTTGGAAAAATTTCCATCTACAAAAATTAAATTGTTGAGATATTCATATGGATTAAAAGATGCTCAACTGCTATTTATAAAGATTCCTGTAACAAGTAGTAAAAAGATTTATCTAAATTAGAAAGAAAAAAGAAAAAACCAAACCTGTAACTCGCCAAAGATTTAATAATCACTTTCTTTTGCCCAAAGAATTAATGCTTTTTCCTGACTTACACAGTGGTACAGTAAGATTTCTAGAATACAATGTTTTCACTGGAAATAAAAGCTAATGATTTTAGAAATGAGGACCTAAATTTCTTTTGAATAAAAAGCAGAGAAACAGAATTCCAAATCTTTAAATCATTTTATCAGCAATTTGACATATGGAAAAAAAATGAGGCCCAGAGATGTTGGGTTAAATGTTTTATTTCAAAAACTACAAATGCATTGATTTTATGCCATGAAATTTCGGTCCAACTGTAATAATGGAAAGAATTTATGGAAGATAATATCTGCAGTGAAAAATTAAGTTTCAATAGTGCTTTGCAATATGATACTTACATTTTTCTGAAAGTTTATAAAATTTGGATTTCTCAAAGAATTTACCTCAGCTGAAATTTCTGAAATCCCTTACCTTGAACAACAACTTGGTTGCTGGGTACTAAGATCTGCTGCCCATCTGTGGTCTGTGCATACTGTAGAATTGTAGTACCCGGCTGAGTGGCAGCTGCATTGGTCATGGTTAATGTTTGCAGGCCCTGTACCCCATCGGTACCATTGTTAGCCAACTGTATTGCTCCTCCTTGGGTAATGGCAACTAAAAATCAAATGGATTTTATTGTTACAAATTTAATACAAGATACTAAATTCAATGCAGAATAATCTGATAGACACAATCTAATACAAATGATTGTAGCAGAAAACATCGATAACTAGGATTTAAATCTACTCAAGTAAATTTCTACACAGGAAATCCATATCCAGTTTCCACACTACAGAGGCACTCTTTGAACTTCACTATATAACTTTACAATAATAATGCCTGTTAATTGTTTCTTTTTCTAAACGAATGAGTGGGAAATGTTAATTTATTCTTTTAAAGTTATTTAGTTGAAAGGAGATAATATTTTGTGTTCTTTACATGCTTCTACTATATAATTAGCTAAAAAATATTTTAATTATTTAATATTTTCTATGATACTGATAAGAAAATTTCTTGAGGGTAAACAATATGAAATTTTTCTTATCTATTTTCATGAACCAAGATCTGGGCACATAATTTGACAGCTAATACAGGCATACCTCGGAAATAAGAGTTCTAGACCACATCAATAAAGTCAGTATCACAATAACGTTGAACCAATAAAGTTTGTTTTCCTAGTGCATAAAAATATTATGCTTATACTATAACTATAGTGTATTAGGTGTGCAACAAATAGCATTATAAGAGAGTTTGATACATTGCAAGAATTACCAAAATGTGACAGATACAAAATGAGCACATGCTGTTGAAAACCTGACATAGATAAATTTGCTCAACACAGGGTCGCCACTAAAACTTGTAAAAAATGCAATCTGCAAAGCACAATAAAACAAAGTGTGCCTACAAATGCCTGCTTTAGTGAGTAATTCAGCAGTTCAGCAGTACATTCTGTTCTCTACATCATCTACCAGTGCATAGCTATAATGGAGGTCCACTCAGCACACCCATGGTTCATCACAGTGCTATTTATAATAGCAAAAACCTGGGGCAACCTAAATGCCCATCACTGGATGACTGAGTAAGGAAACTGTGGTATATATGGTACATAATGGAATATTACACAACATTAAAGAATAATAATGAATCCAGGAAAAACAACAACATAGACGAATCAGAAGTACATTATACTGAATGAAATCAGTCAATCAGAAAAGGACAAACGTATCATGTGACCATTATTATTAAAAGTGAAGAAAAGGTTTTCACATAAGATAAAAATCTTTGATGGTTATAAGAAGTAGGAGGAGGTGGGAGGGTAAATCATTAACTGTTGTTGTTAAGTGCTATCAAGTCAGTTCCAACTTATAGCGACCCTATATAGGGTTTTCATGGAGCAGCTGGTGGATTTGAATCACTGAACCATAAACTTTGTGGTTCACAGTCCAGCGCTCCTCCAAGAGTGCCACATGAGCTAAGTTAAATTACTAACTGTTATTTTTAAGTGCCAAGTCAGTTCCGATTTATAGGGACCCTGTATAGGGTTTCCAAGAAGTGACTGGTGAGCTTGAACCACTGACCTTGTGGTTCAAAATGACTTTGCAGTCCAGCACATTAACCCACAATGCCACACCAGGACTTTATACGTAATGGGACACAGGTTAGCACTAAATGATTGAGGCGAAGGATGACACTGGGAAGTGAGTACAAGAGTTAAAGGCAGCAGTGAACAAATAAGATAAGATGGCAGATCGTGTAGAAGTGCAGTGAGGAGCTCCATCAGCAACAACACAAAATACCAGACCAAGTAGGCTCAGGGGATGATGCCATAACTCTGAACCATATATAAAGGAATATTTAGTAGGCAGGAAGGCTTACAACTAGGGGAAATTGATAGCATGTGCAAGAAATCCATTGCTTTCTAATTCAAGATGCTTAGCTGCTTCCAGAGCCGCCATCTTGGGAAAGACCAAGCGGGAGATGGATCAGAATAGCCACGGACACCTGAGGGAACCACCTAGATAAAGGTGTGGACTTTTTTTGTTGTTTGTTATCTGTTCACTGGTCTCTGTCTGCACACCTCCATTCTGCTGACTAGAGGGGGATGCCTGAACAGGTGGACACTCCACCCCCATCCCGAGGGCACTACTACACATGCACACAGACCTCTTTGAAATTTAAAGTGACAGTTTCCACTTAAAACCAAATGTCAGTGCAAAATGACCACAGTCAGCCCTGAACTGTTAATCTCTAGGAAAAAGGCCTGAACAGGGATTGTGGAGCGGGACAGGCAGACTAAAAAGGAAACAGGCTGAAAATTAAATCCTGAGTTGCATCACAACAACCAACAGTAGCATCTTGAAATTTCTCAGGAAGAAGAGTGAAAAGGGAAGCCCATCTCCTGATCACATCTACCCAGAGGAAATCAGAAAGCACAAAAAATACCAAAATACACACCCATCTAAGTATTAAGGCCACAGATAACTCCTGAATATGCCCCAAAAACAGAAACAGATGACCATATCAGCACATGTCCAGAAAAGAGATAAAGTGACTGAGACAAATGACCTGGAGGTAGACCTACAATCCATACTGGAAGATGGGCAGGCTTTGGAAATGCCTAAGAAGGAATTCAGAAAAATTATTATAAAATGTATCAAAACTCTATACAGTGCAGTTGAGAAAAATAAGGACAAAGTCAGGAAAGTGTTACAGGAACAATCAAATAAGATAGATACAGCATTGGAAACTATCCAAACCCTGTGCAAATAGGTCCAAGCGATTAATAATAAAATATCAGAAATGGACAATATACTGAAAGGGCAAAGGAGTAGAACTGAAGAAATAGAAGACAGAACTAGTGAGCTAGAAGACAAATCTCCCAGCACTACAAAGATAGAAGAGCAAACACAAAAAAAGGATGAAAAAATCTGAAGAAGGTCTAAGATTCATGCTGGACAACATGAAGAGGGATAACTTAAGAATAACCAGCATTCTGGAACAGAAAGGATCACACAAGTACACAGAGGAGATAGTTGAAGAGCTTCAGGAAGAAAATATTCCTAACATCCTGAAAAGTGAAAAGCATTCAAGAAGCTCAATGAACTCCAGGAAGGACAGACCCTAAAAGACAAATCACCAAGACATATAATAATCAAGCTCTCCAAAATCAAAGATAAGGACAGACTCCTGAGAGCAGCTAGGGAAAAGAGAAGTGTAATTTACAAAGGCAAGCAAATCAGATTAAGCTTGGCTCTCTCAACAGAAACCATGCAGGCAAGAAGGCAATGAGGAAACATATATGAAACTCTGAAAGAAAAAAAAAAAACTGCCAACCATGAATCCTCTACCCAGCAAAGCTGTCAATCAAATACTATGGCGTAATCAAAACATTCCAGGATAAACAGAAGTTAAGGGATTTTTCCAAAGCCAATCCTGCTATGAAAAACATAATAAAGGAAGTTCTGTGAACTAAGAACCAACAAGAACAGACAACAACCAGAAAATGATGTACGTGGCAGCATCACCCTAAACCATCGACAAATGGAAGAGTTAAGAACAGAATAAAATGATAAAAACAGAGGATCTGGGTGGTCAGTCTATGATCAAAACAATCACAATGTAAAAGAAGGTAAACACAGAAAAACAGAGATCCAGATGGTGAGAAGGACAGATAGATTACAGGATAAAATCGACTATCTTAAATTGAGGCAAGAGTTAATGGAACATAAGATAACTACAACAGTGGGGTTGGGGTTGGGGTTTAGTTTGGGTGTTGGGGAGGGCAATACAAGATGTGGGAGGAGGTGGAAGAACAAGAGAGATAGTGGAACACTAAGACAGGTTTTCATGGCCTAACTGGGACAGAGGTAAATAGTGATGCATGCTCAACCTTTGAATAACAGGGCTCTGGGATACAGGGATCTAGGCATAGTTTGAAGATGGGAAATAATGCTAAAATGCTTGACTATCTTATGAATATTGGTTTCCCTTGCCTACTATTGTAAAATAGACATTTGAGTGGGATAGAAAGGAATGTTGGGAAACATTATTACAGAAAACTTGTAAGCCTGTCTTTGGCCTATAACTTATTGGAATACCTTAAAGGGTTTCTAGAAATTGTTCAGTGAAATAGTCCTCCGCAAACCCTTTGCACTTAGAGTATAGGACCTTAGGTGGAATCCTGAGTCCCATCCAGAACCTTATGAGGTGGGACATTCCCACTAGAAAGGACAAGCAGACCAGCCTGGGACAGGTAGAGCAACAGAAAATACATCTTCAAAGAAAGGCCACCAGGAAAAACCCAAAACAAAAATGTCAGCATGGCTGACTACTACTACAAGAATAAGCAAGCTCTTCACTGGGAAGCCATCAAAGCAAGCAATCAAGTTCCTTCAGGACAAACTCCCCTCTAAGACTGAAATGCAAAAGGAACACATGAACAGGCATGTAAGCTTGCTGGCGACGACACTGGTCTACTGGAGATTGGCAGAGGGGTAAAGGCAGCAATGAATGAATGGGCTGAGTTCAACCACAGTCCATTGACCCCCACTGACCTGGAGATGAGCAAGAGAAGAGGAAGGGCTGGTTGCTCCAAAGTGTGGTGAAATCTGGGGACACTTGAGACCATGGATAAGGACATAGCCACAGAGGGCTAGAGCTGAGAGTAAAGCATCCAGCTGATACGAAGTGATATGATGCACAAGAACACCTAAACTTGCAGACAGTACCCATTTGACCTAGCCTCGATGGCTTAATAATCAGAACTCGACTAGAGGAAGATTACAAAAAAAAAAAATATTTTTTTTTGATGAAGGAAACAAGGGTAAATTGCTACAATTTGATGAACCGGACCTATACTCATGGAGGTAGTAACTCTAAATACCTATAGAGAGGAAAGGAATCTTCACATCAAGTATCAATGCTATCCCCTCTGTTTACAGGGTACATAGGGACACGCAACGGCTACCTAAAATGACAGGGTGATAAAGGTACGAAGTGACTGGCTTACAAGGTTTCAAGAGGGAGTATAGTTTAAGAGTGTGGGGGTGGGGGAAGAAAGAAACCGCACTGAATAGTTTTCATCTTGTCTAGATGGGTCTGGTGAAAAGAGATGGGGATAAGATTCGTAAGATTCAATAATGAATAATTATTATCATGACTAATTGCAACTGTCACAATTGTAAAGGTAGAAGTTTTCTAACAAAAATAGGGGAGTGGTTAATCTTACAATACAGAAACGGAGGACCCCAGGACCATTAAGGGATAAGAGCACAAGCAGAATGCAGGATCTTATCCAGAGAAGCAGAATGCCAGAAGACAAGAGAGAAGATATCCAGAAGAGATAGAGGCAGAGATGGGGTCATGGAGAGGGGGAGAAGCTAAGGACTCTAGATTCCTGGGAGGGGAGGGACTAAGAGCTAGATGTGTCCTTTGGAGGTGAAAATTATTGTATATGCCTGAATGTTTTTGTTTTTGTTTTTTTTTTTAAAAAAAGCTAAAGGAGCTCTGGTAGTGTAGTGGTTACGAATCGAGCTGCGAACCTTAAGGTCAGCGGTTCGAAACTACCAGCCACTCCGCGGGAGAAAGATGAGGCTTTCTACTCCCGTAAGGATTTACACCCTCGGAAACCCTGTACAGGGTCGCTATGGGTCGGAACCGACTCGACGGCACTTAACAACAACAACAACAAAGTGAATAGAGAGAAATACTGTTTACTGATATACATGGAAGGGATTAGAAGCATTGTAATGAAACAATGTGTATGACTTGTTAAATGTAAAACTGATGATCTGCCCTGTAAATTTTCCCTCAATCCACAATAAAACCTTAAAAACAAAAACAAAAACTAAAAAAGAGTTAAAGGCAGCAAAGGTAAATGGCATTACATATAAAATCCTACAGTAACTGTAATAATCTATGAGAGTATATATACATAAACATGCTGAATAGGTATGGAAAGGACAGTGGGACTGAAAAACAAAAGCCCACTCAATGGAAATTTTCAGTGGAACTTAAGAATTATAAAGCTTCTCGTGTAAGCTATATACTAGACTGCTAATCACAAGGTTGGCAGTTCAAACCCACTAGTTGCTCTTTGAAAACCCTATACAGCACTGCTATGAGTTAGAATGGACTTGATGGCACATAACAACAATTCATGTAGTTAAAAATCAGAGTTCAAGATCATCAGTCAGAAAATAATATTTTTCTACCATTTAAAACATTACACATCCAAGCATTCTCAGAGAGGATTCTTTGTTGATCATTCATTCATATTTGGCTCATATTAATAAAATGAATTTCACTTTAAAAAACTGAAATCATCTTCCTGTTATAGTAGATGGAAAAGATTATAAAAAGAAAGGTATTTATTTGAAAAAGCAGTCTTTTAAACACCAGCATTAAAACAGGTGGTTGGATCTTCTATAGCTACAATGCTTGCTAATACTCAAGTGTTTCAGGAAATAAAGACACCAAGAATCAAAATATTATTTATACAACTGCCTAACAGATTTTAACTGAATAAAACAGAAGTAAGAAAAATGTAAGAGAGTCAATCTGTTTGACTTAATAAGCATAAGGTCACATTCTAACAATTTCTTAGAAGGGAATTATTTTGGAATAATCTATTGGCAACTACAATATTCCAAGCATCATCTATATGAGAACATTGATATGCACTGCTCAATCAAGAGCTATTAAAAATCAATGCCTATGATTGCACTAGTTTAATAAATAAAACCTGAAGACACCTGGCATGCACAACCTATTCACATCAGTTAACCCTAGACCTTTAACTTATTTTACACCAGAACAAAGAACTATTTCAGCACCACACCAGGACTCCCTTTGGTATACTGAAATAGGGGGAAAATAAAGGTATACAACTACCAGCCGCTCCGCGGGAGAAAGATGAGGCTTTCTACTCCCGTAAGGATTTACACCCTCGGAAACCCTGTACAGGGTCGCTATGGGTCGGAACCGACTCGATGGCACTTAACAACAACAACAATCATAGATAACTATTATGTGGACATAGGGAGTGCACATTGGCTATTTTGAATTAGATACAATTATATGGTTTACTATTTTGGGAGTGACAAATTGATCATTAACCATCAAAAAGAACATTTCAAGATCTATATTGAAGTATGATGCTACCTGTGATAGGATAATATCCATATGCCTACAAGGAAGTCCAGAGAACACTGTTATTCAAATTAATGCCCCAACCACTATACTCAGTGATGATGAAATTAAAGAGTGCTCCCAGCTTCTTCAGGGTGAAACTGATCAAACATGCAATCAAGATGCATTAATAATTTACTGGTGACTGAGATGAAAAAGTTGGAAACAAAGAGAAATGATCAGTATTTGGAAAATATGGCCTTGGTGACAGAAACAATGCTGGAGACTGACAGAATTTTGCTAAACCAATAACTTACTGATTGCAAATACCTTTTATCAACAACATAAACAGTGACTATACACATGGAACTCAACAGAAATCAAACTAACTATGTCAGTGGGAAGAGATGGTGAAGGAAGCTCAATATCATCAGCCAAAAAAGGGGTGGGGTAGCTATGGAACAGGATATCAATTGCTCATATGCAAGTTAAAGCTAAAGCTGGGAAGAGCCAAACTGTGACCTTAAATATATCCCACTGGAATTTGGAGACCATCACAAGAACAGATTTGATACATTAGATACTAATGACTGGAGACCAGAGGAGCTATGGGATGACATTAATAACATCATACAGTAAGAAAGCCAAAGGTTATTAAAAAGTCAAGAAAGATAGAAAAGACCAAAATGGATGTCCGAAGAGACTCTGAAACTTGCTGTGGAGTACAAAGAAGCTAAAGCAACTGGAAGAAATGAGGAAGTAAAATAGCTGAACACAAAATTCAAAATGCAGCTTGAGAAAACAAAATCCAAAGAGGCATGTAAGCTTACTGGCGACGACATTGGTCTACTGGTGAGTAGAAAGAGGAGGGGGAAAGGAAGCAATGAAGAAATGGGCTGAGTGCAACCACAGTCCATTGACTCCCATTGACCTGGAGATGAGAGAGAGAAAAAGAAGGGCTGGTTGATCCAAAGTGTGGTGACACCTGAGAACACTTGAGCCCATGGACAAGGACATAACCACAAAGGGCTAGAGCTGAGCGTGAAGCATCCAGCTGTTATGAAGTGAGGGGAGATGCACAAGAACACTCAAACTTGCAGACAGTACCCATTTGACCTAGCTTCGATGGCTTAATAATCATAACTAGACCAGCAAAAGGTAACACACACACACAAAAATTTTTTTTGGATAAAGGAAACAAGGGTAAATTGCTACAATTGGATGAACCGGACCTATACTCATGGAGTATAACTCTAAATACCTACAGAGAAGGAAGGAGTCTTTACATCAAGTATCAACGCTGTTCCCTCTGTACACAGGGTAGATAGGGAAGGGCATTGGGTATCTTAGAGATTGGTTACCTAAAATGAGGGGGTGATAAAGGCATGAAGTGACTGGCTTACAAGGTTTCAAGAAGGAATTTAGTTTAAGAGTATGGGGGTGGGAAGAAACAGTCCCCACTGGATAGTTTTCGTTTTGTCTAGATGGGTCTGGTGAAAAGAGATGGGGATAACATTCGTAAGATTCAATAGTGAATAACTGTATCATGACAAATTGCGACTGTCACAATTGTAAAGGTAGAAGTTTTGTAACAAAAACAGGGGAGTGGTTAATCTTACAGTCCAGAAACAGAGGACCCCAGGACCATCAAGGGAGAAGAGCACAAGTAGAATGTGTGACCTTATCCAGAGAAGCAGTGACGCCAGAGACGGAGGCAGAGATGGGATCATGGAGAGGGGGAAGAGCTGAAGATTTTAGATTCATGGGAAGAGAAGGAATAAGAGCTGGTGGCCAGGAAGCAGACTTGCCGAATGTGCCCTTTGGAGGTGTAAGTTATTATATATGCCTGAGTTTTTTGTTTAAAAGCTAAAGTGGATAGAGAGAAATACTGTTAACTGATAGTACAAGGACGGGATTATAATCATTGGAATGAAACAAGGTGTATGATTTGTTGAATGTAAAACTGATGATCTGCCCTGTAAACTTTCATTCAATCACAATAAAAAGCTTGAAAAAAAAAAAAAAAAA